CTCTTCTGTGCTGAGTTCAATTGTCTCTTATGCCATCTGTTTTTTGCTCTGTTTTGTATTTTGTGTCATGGCAGACCGAAATCGCAGGAAATTAGGTTAGCGCTCCTTTTTTCTGTTGTTTGCTGCACTCTCACTCCCTTTTTCTTGTTTCTTTAATCCCTCCTTTCTCCCAGAGCCAGCTTTGTTGCCGGGTCCCTGCTCCCTAATGAAGTCAAAGGGATGTCAGTCAATGCCACCTACACAGAAAGGAATTCAAAAAGGCATACTTCTTACTGTGCTGCATTCAAGATGTAACTTCCACTCAATGAACATGAAATTTAGAAATAAATTGGGAACTTACCGCATGAAAAACGGTTTGAAAGCTTGTTTTAAAGTCTGCATATGTTCAGGGTTCTCGGCATTTGTTGTTAGCATAACAATGTGCTCGCTTCCCCAAATATTTAAGGTAATCTCATCCAGTTCTGGCAAGGGCAAATCTGCACTTCCAGTAAAATGTGTGTAAATAAGCGTGCATGGCTGTGGACGCGTGTGTTGTTGGGTTGGGTATGACACCCTGATGCCCTTTGCCAAAAAGGCCCCTGGATTAGCTAACAGGCATTCCTGATGGGCAGCTCACGTTCCACGGAGACTTGACCTGGGAACAGTGTGAGGAACCGATCTGGGCAAATAAGCATAGTTAGTTGGTTATAAAACTGCCCTGTCAACAAGACGCCATAATCATCTTGCTGCGATTCACAAGCTAAAATGGACTTTTTGCACTGTAAGATAGTTTAAGTCACAAGGGAACAGATATGAATTATTAATAAAACGTGAGTTGACCATATGGTAGTGCTTGCTTGGTTATTACTAGTATTATACTAGAATATAACTGGTGCTATCATTATTTTACCACTAAAATACACAATGACTTTCCTGACAATGTCCTCAACAGCTTGAAGATTGCTCAGGATTCTGGCCTCCCTTTAAAACCCTGACTGAAAGAATCTATATATATGCTACTCTTTTATTCTTGTCCAACCATCTTGATTCATGCTTGCTGTTAACTAATGTAGCATGTCAAGGCTTTTTAATGGGATGGAGACAGACTTTGGATATGTGGCTTGAAATAGCAAAAAGTGTAATGATAACACCACGACACTGACAGCAGAATGTAGGCACAGTCTGACGCCAAGATTATAGTTATTTCTCATCACTTTGTTTCACATGTCTTGTACAAAAAGTGGTCCCTTGGGTGAAACGTGGTACAGGGGGTGTAAAGAGGGGTCTCTCAGAATATGTTATCAGTGTTTAAACCCCAGGGGCGGCACATATCCCATTTCCATGCTACTCCCAGCCTCGCTCTCCAGCCCGACTGCTTGTTCTGGTCTGGGTCAAGCACGCAGCGAGGGCATGTAGCTGATGTGACGCTTCTCATGACGTAGAGATACCAGAAGTTGACTATATATCGGCAAAGGTCAAGGGATTTAAGGCATAATGTGATGACGTTCTGTTGGTCAGAGAAATAACAATATGTGAGGTGGTCTTTTAAACTTGCCAACCACAAAGGTGAATTTTTATTACTGTTCAAGTTGTTCCTTGCTCTCTAAACACTTTTTATTCTATTGCTAGTTTTTACATGCATGTCTGTTTGCCCTCATCTCTGTATTTTAGATTTTCATTTTAGAAATTCAATTTTTACAAGACTATTTCTGTAGGACAAACTAAATGCATTTTTTATGAACGTAAATATTAAAGTTAGGTACTCCAGCTTCATTAAACAGTTTTCTTATGCTTATAGGACCTTGCTAAAATATGTATTGTGTTTTTGTTATCTACCAGGCAACTGTAGTCTTGTGAAGTGAAATGAAAAGACTTTTAGTTCTTAATAATTTTTCATTATCCTAAGCTATATCCTTATGTTCTTTAGGGTTACATCAAAGCACAACGCATTTTTCTACTTCCCTGCGTCTTACCGTCACATCCACACACAAGGTTCTTTCATACAGTATATCCTGACAACACGTGACCCATATGTTCCCATGTCTGACAGATACAATGTTTCTAATATAAGAAAACCAGGTCCTTGGACACATGCGCACACATCGCAGGCCCACAGCTGCACTGATAAGGCAGTGAACGCTCTCCTCCTCGCACACACATGCTCGCAGTCTAGCCCAGGCCAGTGCTACATACCGGCTGGAAATTCTCATGAAAGGAGTAGTATATTTGGAGAAGACGTATCATTAAGATAGGCGGAGGGTTGGAGGAAGGGAGGGAAGGATCGGCAGAAACTTTCCATCTGCTGCTTTAAAGAACATGTTATTGCGTCTCACAAAAAAAAAGTTCTCTCTCTGTGTCTTTGTCTCGCTGAGGCCGAGCTAGACTCCTCCAAGACATCGCTCATATGGAGCTAAAGCTGAGCAACCTGTCACACTGAAAAGGCATGAGATTAGGTGGATTAGAAAGATAAAAACAAGACGTTTATCAGACATCCTTGTTTTATACGTGCAGTGCATAGGGAATAAATCTGAGGAACCTAACACGCTCAAAATTTAACTATGTAATAAAATCCATGAAACTTGTTCCTCGACCTCGAAACAGTTTGGTTCCATCACTAGTTTTCACATGTATTTGTTGTATTGTATATTGTAATGTTGGTCACATTTTTCGATTAACTTTATCAGACCCTCACCTGCCAAAAATGTCAAATAGTGACTCAAAAGATAATATTTTCCAAAAGACTTGTGTGATTTCTTCACAAAGTATTACTTTACATAGACTCTTCCTGTAAGGACAGACAAATTTCATTATTTTAAAGAAATAGTAACAATATTATAGAAACCCCAGCTTTTAATAATGTTTTTCCTCCTGTGTTTTAGATTGCACAATCAGTAGTAATGAATTAGTAATATAATTAATAAAGTCAAAACACTCAAAATCAACATCAAAATAAATGTTCAAAGCATATAGTATATATATTTTTGTAATGAAAAAATGACAATATATTTGTCAATTATTATTTAGAATATTAGTAAAAAGTGAAAGTGAGTCTTGCATTTTCTTAAGCGTTCCCCTGTGTCATAAGCTTGTCCAGTGGCTTTGTTGGTGTGCGTGTCTGTCTGCATATGACTACTTGTCTATCTCCCTCTGAGTGTTTGCTGGGAAGCTAGGCCAGGCCACAGCTCTGAAACAGGCTGTATTTGTCCCAGCCTGTGGCCCCTGGCGTGGCCGCAGCTCCCCCCTCCGCATCACGAGGCAGACACTCTTCGCTTTCATAGATCCGCAACACGTAGAATGGACACATTGATCTTTTCATGTTCAATTGGTTTTGTCGTCCTTAAAAAGCTATAATATTGTATCTATGAGCGTTGTGTCTACATGTAACATCATATGACACGCTCACATCTCTTCGCAGTTGCACTTTGGAACGGACATAAATAAATTGTTTACATGCAGACAGACGGCGCCAATGATTTGCGCCTCATTGTCTATAGAAAAGTGTTTAAACAACATGAATGAAGTTCCCACATAGACAAGAAACAGTCAACAGTCGAACGGACACGACTGTAGCTGGAGGCGACAATGCAATTATAAGTTAGCACATAAAATCAGCCTCTCAGTCTTGCTAGTCCCCACAACGAATCACATGGACCAGAGAAACATCCCTTTTCTCTATCCTTGCTCTGCTCACTGCCTCATTCTCCTCAGTCTAATTTATTATGCGCAGGAATAACAGGCGCCGTGCTGATTTTGCATGTCTGATTGACCATTACACACCATGGACACCAAGTGTTAGAATAATATGATTTATGAGATATTGGACATTTAAATGTGTCACATTAATATTTCGTAATCAGAGAGTCCCAACTTTATATAATCTAGTCAAATAACACAACTGAATTACATTGTTTAATAATGCTTGAGTCCTTATAAATTTTCTTTATTTTTTAAAAGGTTTATATTAACTTTTTATTTTAAATATTTTGTAATAATTTTTAAGAAGGGTATCACATTCAAACGCTATATATAAATATCTTGTTTTTCCCTCTTTCTCCATCTTCTTTAAACGCTGTCGATGGTCACCAGCACAGGCCATGTCTTGTCTCCAGTCATGAACAGAGCATTGTCCTCAGTGAATAAGGCTTCCTATAACTGTGATACCTCCTTCATTCTAACATAAACCAACTCCCCCAGCATTCACATTATTCAATTTAGCCATTTTATATATTTAAACAGTGTGCATGCCAAAAGTAACAGCACCAGTGTAGAGTTGTACCCGTTTCATTGTGTCCTCCTTTATTGACTTATTTAGCCTTCTTTCAATAAATCCTTATATTTTCCTTTAGGCGCACTTCATTCTGGCGGCGGGTTCCTTCTCGTTTGTCTCCATCACACATGTTATTGCTTTAGGTGGAACCAAACAGGTGACGAGGCCAAGTAACTGGGGAGACGGCTTGCTCAGGACCACATCTCTGTCCTCTCACCTCCTCCGTCGCCTTTGCTCAGCGCCGCTATTTAAAAACAATACAACAAATCGTATCTTGTTAAAGTACAGTCTGAAGAATGAGCAACAAATGAAGGCTATTAATTACAACGAAAATAGATGTAATGAGCGGCACTAAAGACGGATGATTTAGTATTCTCTTGTCTGTATTCCATTGGGTCACTGTTACTGATCCCTCCTGTCTGATTATGCAGCCGACTGCAAAGGGTGGGGGCATTGACGTGAATATATTTGTGTAAGAGCCTGCCTAATTACCAGTGCTGGTTCTCCACTTCACTTAACTTTCTAATTGGCTTGCCTTTTTGCCTGCCATTAATTACAAGATTTCATATTCCATTAATAATGATCTAAGAAGAAAGAGAGAGAGGGCCTCAGACTGTATTGTACATCCACACCTTTACACTAGAATGATTTTTACTGTACATTACTTTTGTGGTTTGTCTATTCTATACTTGATTGAACAAATAGTTTACAGCCTTTTTGTAAAGTTGACCATTTTGGTTTTTTTTCCTCACAGCATCCGTACCCATCGGAAGAACAGAAAAAGCAACTGGCACAAGACACAGGCCTTACCATTCTACAAGTGAACAACTGGTGAGTAGTCAACAAGCAAGTCGATACGAGGGTTTTGTCCCCCCAGGCGATACGATTCCTAATGATGGAAATTAATATCTCCACTCCTCCCCATGCTCACGTACACACGTTTTTAGTAATGCCTTCTCCCACAGATCAATCCATGTAAAGAGATTTGGCCTACAGTAATTTTCCAAAACCAACAAGCCAAACATGGGCGCCCATTCTGATTAAGAGTCAATTTGAAAACACCCAATAAAATCGAGTCGCGTACTGGAAAAGTGTTCGCTTTGAGACTAATTACAAGATTTCACGTGCATAATGTGTGACTTCTTACATCAAGTTTATCTTACTATGATTAATTTGTGCTTTATACAGTTGACTGGCCTGACTTGAATTTTAAAGCTGTACAACTTTTTACAGTGATGTGCAAAAATGAAATGCAAAAAGTGGTATATGATACATTTATGATACATCGACTACTAGAAACACTGACTTGACAACAGCCTTAGAAATGTACTGTCCAAATACATTTAAAAACAAAACAAAAACATTTTTTACCCAGGCATGTTGTTTCTTCTCCATGAATTCTTTGCACAATGCTGTAGAAACATATTATTAGATTTCAAATGCAACCATATATGGGTCGCTTTGGCTTGTAGTAGTCTTCAGGCTAATTACCTTTATTAATGTATACAACGTTCCCCAATGCATGCCGAGGATTCTAATCGTCCTTGTTAGCTGCGACTTCTCAGTAAAAAGTTCATAGTGTGATTGATAACATGCTTTAGCTACTTTAGCAAATGAGTGCGCTTTAATTGCTGCCTGGCTGGTAATTGGCTAGTAGCAAGTCTGACTGGATCCATAAACTAGTGGTTTTAACCTTAGGTAGCACTGTAAAAGGTAAAGCAGGGCCCTTATGTCCTTGTGCGCCTGGTCTTATCAGCGAGATGGCTATCAGTGCATACTTAGCGTTATTAGCCGTGTCCAATTAAAGAGGCTGGAGACATGGAGCTCACGAGGCACTGGACGTTTGATCTAAGGCCCTGTATCATAAACACTAATAGTCTGAAAGTCTGCGTGTGTAGGTGGCTGCTTTGGAGCCTTGGAGCAGTTAGAAATACTTGATTCAAAGTTCAATCTTGAATATGACTGTTAGAATAGCTTCAACGTCTATTGAGACACAACACAAGGACAGTGCAATGTTGGAAAGTATTAGTAGCCCTAAAGCAGCATTAAGGTAAGATAAATACATTAAATGACATTAAAATAAGCAGATCATAATATTGTCAATTAAAGTCTACAACTACAGTATGAGTACAGAATATATTCAGAACTTTGGCCTATTGGATTTATCATATTCCTCACTTTGGCTTTCCTCTGTTCTTAAGTATGATTATATTTGTCCATCTCCACAAACAGTGTTGCTTTAGCTAATTTTAACCTTACAAACCATAGGAGACTATAAAATGAGGCATGAGGAATCCCTTTATATTCCAGCTCTCTAATATATGTTCTCATTGTTAAATTGAGCCCTTGGAGACAGACAGAAGATTAAGCCATGGCTTATGAATCTATGGAGGATTGGTGTTGTACCAAAACAATTCACGGCTTTTTGCACAATGACACAGACCCTGGAGAAGTGCGGCCAGAGGGAATCCTGGTGAGGTTATCAAATCACACGACCCTGGTGAAATCCTGGTGGAATCAATTCTTACAGTCAAGATAAAGCTACGACTGTGGATGTGCATGTGCATAATAGTCGGACGGTCACATGTGCAGGTCACTTAAGGGCGACTGCATGCTCTCATATTGTTTGTTGTGTTTGGTTAAAAGGGGAATAGCAACGCCGCCTTAAGGTCTGTACGCAAGACCAAAACAGATGCAGTGCCAATCGTAGGAGGGTAATCTGGGTTCTGTGGAAGAGGTACATGTGTGTATGTGACACAGGGGGACCCGGGGGTGGCTAATCTAAAGGGTATTAGCTGTTAAACCCTATTGCATGCTGGGATTGTGCAACCCCCTCAAGAGATAGAGCAGCACACATGGGTTTGTCCATGGGCGAATTTCCTTGCATGGTTTTCTGAGCAGTACATGGAAGCGTGAGACAAAAAAAGCAGAAAAAAGGAGGAAAAAAACAAAACAAAAAGATGATAGAAGAGAGAGAGAGAGAGAGAAAGATGAAGGTTACGTTGGAAGGGCCACTTTGCTGCCTGGACAGACTGGCATCTCCATAGCAACACCTGCTGATTCTCCTCCTTGACCCACTCGTTTAAGTCATGTCTGTGTCTCTTGATGTGCATATGCAGACAAGAACACAGACACAAAAGACACTGGCTCCAGTACGCTTTACAACTGTGAAATCAAGACCAAAGGCTCTTAAAAAGCATGAAACACGGACTGAAGGTGTATTTCATGCTTAGTCAGGCACCATCAAATGACCAGATATGAACTGTAGCAGCCATTTTTGTAGTCCATCCACTTCACAAGCATAGGCTGTTCAAAATAGTAAAATATATATAGTATATTGTATATATTAGGGGGGGTTTATCCTCCCTTGATTTGGAGTGAATGAGCATGTCTAATGTTGTGGCCTATATGTGTCTGTTGTGCTCTCTTCCCAATAGGACATAATATTCCATTCATACGAGCTGCTTTATTCTATTAGTCCTATAGCACTCTGTTCTCTCACGTCACCACGCACAGCCTGGATATGTTAACACACATGTCCACGTGTATTATTGATGAGAGCGCACGCAAAAGGGCTCAGCAAATTAAATAAAAATGCTAAAGGCCGACAAGGGGTGCAGATCACTCATAAATTATTGGCAGGAATACTCTGCACCAGGGAATCTCAATTTGAATGAAAAAGGGTATGAGTGAGGGAGAGGGGAGAACAGAAACATAATGCTGATCTCTTCATAGCACATGATCAGGACACACACCCAAGTGCAAACAGGACACATGTGCTCTCACATGGAAACTGTTGGATGAAAAGATTAACCCTCATTCTGTATGCTCAACACGACATTGTTTCAGCCGTTAAGTGGCGTATAATGCTATGTGTCAAGACTCAGGACACAAACGTACTGTAGTTCTGGGATAAATGTTATTTTGGCATCAATTGGAGCAACATGGCTTGAGTATAAATTAAAATATATATAGAAATGGAAGTCTCAAATTAAAATAAAGGATTGGTAAGGCGTGATTACATTGTGTTTTGTCGAATGGTATGTTGCTTGGAGCTTGTAGTGTGTATTGGATTAATCGACATATGATATTATAGCTGTCCAAAATGTGTTTAGGTATGATTCATTTGACAAAACAACAGCAGACAAGACATAATTATTATCCATTGAGTTGACTAGAGCTTTGGGAATGCATTACATTCAATTTGAGCTTTGCTATTATTACACACAATTTTCAAGTAATGTTTTGCATACATTTTGTTTTTGCATAATTCTGATCCAGTGCAGGTGTAGTTTGTGAGTGTAGTTCAGGTCAAATGTGCAAACATATTTACTCTTTCTATTATTTATTCATTTCACAGTGGACAATGCAGTCAGACATATTACAAAACAAAGGCTTTTCTATACTAACTTGAAAAACTATTGGTACATCATCAATCAACAGGGCATAGCTTTAGACTTTCTTTAGTCTATAATAGCCTACTGCTATTGATCCCATGAGAGATAGACAGTATTTACCAGTGGTCTATTGCAAACAACCTCCACATGACCTTCTCACACGTCCCACCATGAGCTCAGCATCTTAAATATATCTTACATGTAAATTCCCTTTCTTCCTCTCTCCTTGCTTTGTCTGCTACAGTCTATCTGGCCACTAAGTTCTCCTAACGCTCTGCTGATGTAAAAATCAATGCAAGGGTCATCAGGTTTCCCTTGTTGGCAGCCCCTCCTCTTCCTGCTTGCAATTTAATAATGCCCCTTTAAAGGCAGTGTTTAAGCCCCAGCAAGCGATTGTTTTGTCAATACGACCTCCTTTTACGAATGTCTTAAAAGCATAGAGTGGGAGAGAGTGAGGTGGTGTCAGGCAGTGCAGGCTACTTAGGAAGAGCCAGCAGGGCATGTACAGTATACGCTGGTTATCAGGTTACTAAATGGATGTGGGGTTAAGGGTGAAGGAAGTGGAAGATGGAGACAAATTGAGCCGTATTTGTGAATAAAAGTCAGTCGGAGGAGCACGCACGACTTTTACAATGTCCTGTTCAATGAAAGGTCTTAAAAAGGCCAGGTCATTATTGTTTGTCTATTCTACAGGGACCGGAAATACAGACAACTTTGATTTATCGAAGTGTAGGTTTTTCTGTCTCACAGGACAGAAGAACACGTTGTTGCCCTCTTAGGTAAATCTCTTCTTTTGCATTTGACCCATGCTTCAGTGCAGCCGGAGAATAATGAGGGACTGCTTGTACCCGTGAAGTGCAAGATTATAGGAGTACAATACAATACTATACAATGCAATTTATTCTTGTACAGCCCTAAATCAGAAGTAATCTCAGAGGACTTAACAAAAGCATTGAACTCACCAACACAGATCAGAGAATCAACACTACTTTGAAATAATACTTTGCTTATGTTATCTTGCTTTACTATTGCACACACACATACGCGTCTCTCATTTGCTAAACCCCTGCATCGCATATTTGTGAATGTATATAGAGGCATTACCTTTAGATTTCAGTTGAGTTTGTTGACTCACTTGGAGAGCGATGCTGCGACATGCTCACCTGAGTCTTTGGAATTAATCACCGTTTGGACTGTGCCCTAGAGCTGACTTGGTCTCCTCCATAGTTTTTTTTTTTCTTTCTCCTATTTTCTTAAGCCTGATTGACATTACCAGCCAGCTAATGCCTCATACTCTGCCTTGCATAGAACCCGACCTCACCCAAATATTTCGACACGAAGCGGAATATTTGCAATTTGTCTTTTAAAACATTTTTGTTCTTGTTGTTACCAGAAGATTTTTACAGGAATTTCCAGCTTGTGCAGACAGGAACC